AACACGCGACACAGATCCCCTCGACGGCGGAAGTGGCAGCCGTTGAATGCCAAACGTCGCTTCTCCCGAGGCGAAGGTGTCGTCCACCAACCTGCTGTAATAACCTAGTTCTTTGATTAATGTCGAATTCACAAGCCGAAGGTCGCCCGGACTCGGCGCAGCAGCCTTGGTCGGGTCGGGATCGTGCGTTCTGACGCCGCCCGCGTCGCAAAACCTACGCGCGGCTACGCTTCGCCGACGTAGAGACGCCGTCGCCGCGCCCGCCCTTCGCGTTCCTTCGGCCGCCCAAACGAAAAAAAGACGTTGATATTTCTTAGGCAGAAAAAAATACACTATATCAATTATAAGTATAGATACTTTAGCTATAAACTCCTGGATAAAAGATATTGATACAGTATATTCCGAAGACGGTTCAATTTCACCAAGGCGTCCCTTCGATACAGAACACATACTTGCCAGAGCCATCTTGCAAGAGCACGTATCTCGAGAGCAAGCAACGCGACCTCGCTCGAACGGTAGAATACGATTCATCCTGCCTTAGAAAAAAAAGTAAAAATAAAAAAGCGGTCTATCAGAAAAAGCGGCTCAAGTTCTGCTTACTCGTCATTGCTCCTCTCAAGGGTCCTTGTTCTCTCTCGCCTCACAATAAATGCCACAACAGGACAAAACGCCCTCTAGAATCACACATAGATGGCGTGGGAATCTCATCGCATACCCTTGGATACGGTAGTCCTTAAAAAAAGGGTGCGTAGGACAGCCCTTAGGGTGTGGCAAAAAGGGTGCGAATGGGCGGATTTAGACGTGGGCGAGAGTGGTGTTATCTGGAGCCACTCGCGCCCACGCTTCATCCTTGGCTCGGGTAGACACGCCCTGGCAGAGGGGATTCGAACTCCTTCTTTCTCGATCGTGTTAGGATTGGATTCCTTGAACCGTCGGAGGAAAACCATGCATTTATTAGGTACGGCAAAGAAGAAAAAGAAAAGATAAACTACCTCTCTGTTAAAAAAGATATATTATTTATTTTCATATGAACGTAATTTTCTATTATCTTGTTCTCCAAGTTCTGGCCTAGTCCGCATTGTCCCAAAACCTGCCCACAACTTCTGCTTCCTTTGGGTATCGAAGGATGAAGGGAATCGGACGCGTTGGCTGGCGACCAGGGAGGCCTTGACGAAAGCGCTTTTGGAGACGCCAGGAGGACCGGGGGTGGGGGTAGGGGCGGGGAAGGAGGATAGGCAGGGGCACTTGGGTACTGGTGGGGGGGGGTGATCGTTGGGCGGGGGGAGGCATCATACACGAGGGAAGGAGGGGTGCGGGGCATCAGACTACCAGTTCCTCAAGCTTGGACGAAGGGAGACGAGCGGGGTTAAGAATAGGCGTCCTGCGCGTATAACAAAGTCAGTAGCTTGCGATGAGGGCGTGCATGCTAACCGGTTATTTTTTATGTAATTATTATATATATATTTTTTTTGGTGGGGGGAAGGGGGACTAAATATATGGGATATATAAGCCATTCGTATTACCAGTACGATTCAAGGCACTGCATTACATATGTATACATACCTGTGAATAACTTATTCGTTACACCCTTCTCATAAATGATATTTAGAACAATGAATATATTTAAAAAAACAAAACAAAAAGAATGGCCTTGACCATCTAGTACCTACACTTTTAGCAAACAGGTTCTCAACTATCGCTTCACTAATGACAGACTCGCACCAACGCACAGACGAATAATAATTTTCGAAAATGTATGAGGAATTCTCGAGGACTTTCGAATAATCATTCCTAACTCTTAGATGATGAATGAGCCACTTAGCGTGCAGAAGAGGCTCGTCTATGACCTTATGGTATGTAATGGTATGAATTTAATTACCATACATCACGCGGCCCACAGGTACTGCTGGTAAGATACCTAAATAGGCCTTGATAGGTATCCACAAAAGGCCTATTAAAAAAAAAAACGAATCATCACATATTTTCCCCCAAAAAAATCGAAATCACAAGAAATAATAAACGATAACGAGGAAAAAAAGAGAGAAAATGAAAGAAATGAAAAGCTGTCACCTCTAGCCTTGGAATCAGGGCGTGGAGCATTTCTTTTCTTTTTTGTCATAATCACCAATATATTGTTTCGATCCCACGCCCGTTCCCTAAGATGATTCCGCAGATGGGGATGAGAGTCGAGATGGCGGACTACCTCTCTCTCTGCGCTCGTGTTAGAAGCAATATGAAAGTATTATATTAAAGTCAGAATAGATAGGTTGGCGTTGCTTTATTTGAAATGATAATGAATTCGTATTGTTTACTGATAGATAGATAGATAGAGATTGAGGAGTAGATAAACCATAAGAAAGAGGAAGTGGCACACTTTTATAGGGATAATAACGATGAGTCATATTTCTTGATTAATATGCTAATAATTTCTCTTTTTCTCTTTGCAGCGAAAATGAAGCCGCCTGTAGGCTTCATAGTAGCGCTAGCGTATATCTCAGTGGTAAGTACCCTGTTTTATTTGTTTATTTGTTTTTCATATTAACACGCTTGTATACGCACATGCTCACACACACACGAACACACACACACACACACACACACACACACACACACACACACACACACACACACACACACACACACACACACACACACACACACAACAAAAACCACTTTCTTTTCTGAAATGAAAGAAACATAAGATTTCCATTTCATTTTCATTCTCTGTCTTTGTTCTTTTACATTCCACGGCGTCATCCGCGCTCGGAGCAAACACTTGAGTCACAACAACCCCGTCACGTTTACGCCGTCACGGGGGGAGCGTCACCACCCTGTCACGCACTCACGCAACGGGGGGGGGGGGGGTGAAGGAGGTCGTGGTGGTGTTGGAGGAAGAGGAGGGGAAGGGGGAGGAGGAGCAGGAGGAGGAGGAGGAGGAGGAGGAATAAGAAGAAGTGGAGGAGGAGGAGTCACGTCTTAACCCCCCCCCCCGGCCCCTTTACTTACTACAAACTACTGAAACATTTCTCATTTTGCATTTTTTTTTCTATTCCTTGTTTATTTATTATTATTTTTTTCTCTCTCGCCCTATCGCAATTTTCTTTCCCCCCCTTTCTTTATCTTCAGTTACTCCTCCTCCTATTTCTCCAAGAAGCGTGAGTCTCAATCTTCTATACCCCCTCCCCCCCCCTCTCGTGTTGCCTTGAATAACTCTATGGGAATCACTTTCGCAAATTCTCACGGGTCTAGGAATGAGAGTGAGACTGAGAGTGAGAAACACAGAGAGAGAGAGAGAGAGAGAGAGAGAGAGAGAGAGAGAGAGAGAGAGAGAGAGAGAGAGAGAGAGAGAGAGAGAGAGAGAGAGAGAGAGAAATAGAGAGAGAGAGAGAGAAGAGAGAGAGAGAGAGAGAGAGAGAGAGAGAGAGAGAGAGAGAGAGAGAGAGAGAGAGACAAAGCAAGAACAAGAGTAAGAGCAAAAGCAAGAACAAAAGCGAGAACGAGAAACAAAAAAAAACAGAAATAGATAGATAGAGAGAGAGATAATAATAACCACAAGAAAAGAGAAAACTTTCAAAGACTTTTAAGAGAAATGAGGCATAAACAATGTCCGCCTGTCACCCTCGCCATTTTTTTTTTCTTTTTTTTTCGAATTGAATCGTGAGATAATTCAAGGACAGCCAAAGTACGTGATGATGAGCCGAATTTCTCATCATTACTCATCTCCGTGTGAAAGTCTGTAAGTGAGTAAGTAGATATTGGGTAATTCTGTTTGTGTGTTTTACCCATCCATTCGTGCATTTGTGGACGTGAGGGAGGGAGGGAGGGAAAGGTAGGAAATGATGGATTGATGGATGGATGGATAGATGGAGGGAGAGAGGGAGGGAGGGAAGAAAGAAGGGAAGAAAGAAGGGAAGAAAGAAGGGAAGAAGAAGGGAAGAAGAGGGAAGAGGGAGGAAGGGAGGAAGGGAGGAAGGGAGGAAGGGAGGAAGGGAGAGAGGGAGAGAGGGAGAGAGGGAGAGAGGGAGAGAGGGAGAGAGGGAGAGAGGGAGAGAGGGAGAGAGGGAGAGAGAGAGAGAGAGAGAGAGAGAGAGAGAGAGAGAGAGAGAGAGAGAGAGAGAGAGAGAGAGAGAGAGAGAGAGAGAGAGAGAGAAAAGAGAGAGAAAGAAAAAGGAAAAAAGGGGGAATCCACACAGGATGAATTGTCGAAAATAAACATGATAATGATGCCCCCAAAGTACCCGTGGAGAGACAGAGAGGGCTGGAGAGATTTCCTGTTTGTTCCGTCGAGCGTGCGTAGGATGCGGGGTCTCGTCTTCATGCTGGCGGGATGTAAGAAGTCCGTCCCTTCTTGTTTCTCGTTTTCTCTTTCTCCTTCTTTATCTCTTTCTCTTTCACCATCTCTGTCTGTCTGTCTGTCTCTCTCTCTGTCTCTCTCTCTCTCCTTTCCTCCCTCCTCCTCCCTCTCCCTTCCCTCCTTCTCTTTCTCTCTATATCATGCTAATCAGGTTGTTTACACGCGGGCAGGTCATGCTGATGGCAGGTCCCGGGTCACCCTCTGGCCACGCCCTTTTTACAATACAGCCTCCCCTTTAGCACGTGTTTAGCGCCGGAAAGCAGATAATTCTTCTCAGATCAGGTCAGATCAGGTCACCTCCCCATCCCCCCCCCTTCTAACCCCGGTCGGAGGCGGTTAAACACAGGTCGGGTCATTTGTCAAGGAGTCAACTCTCTCTTTGACAGGTGTTTGACACTTGGTGTTTGTTTGTGACAGACGTGACTGCCTCATTTGGGTATAATTGTCGAAGGAACTTCCGAAGAAATTGATCAATTAGGGGCTATTCTATCGGCTGCCAGGGCAAAGGGGGGGGGGGGGGGGTGGAAGAAGAGGGGTGGGCAGTATACCAGATGTTTTATTTTTATTGTTTACTTCCTTCGTTTAGTGTTTCTGTTCGTGCATGGCGTCTTCGTTTATTTTTGTATCGTCTCGTTGCCTGGCGGAGATAATAAATATAGTTTGTATATCCTCCTTTTCTGTTATAAATAGAAACTAAATAAGTGTTCCCACTGGCCAATGTTGCAAAAAAAAAAAAAAAAGCACGCACACGATTCTCAATCATATTGGTTCTTACGTGCGTGAAGGAGAGGAAATAATGAAGGAAGGAGGGAAATGAAAGATGGACGGAGAAAGAAAATATTTGAGGAGAGAGAGAGAGAGAGAGAGAGAGAGAGAGAGAGAGAGAGAGAGAGAGAGAGAGAGAGAGAGAGAGAGAGAGAGAGAGAGAGAGAGAGAGGGGAAGGGGCTCGCACTTCCGGTGATCAATACTCTTCCCGAAAATAATCCTAAGTCGCGTGGGAGTGTCCAAAATTTCCTTCAGGAATGCAAAAAAAGGAAAATAAAAAATGTCATCACGAAAGATATACACCCAACAATGATAATAATTATAACTGGAGAAAAAAAGAAGAAGAAGACACATATACAACACGAAGAAAGAATACAAAGTTTAATAATACGCCATCAAATGTGTCCATGTGTGTGTGTGTGTGTGTGTGTGTGCGCGCGCGCGTGTGTGTGTGCATGTGTGACGAGCAGCTGCGTGAACCTCTGCCGTCACGACCCGGTGCGTCCACAACCGCAACAGCACACAACACCTGCTTATGAGACGCCCTTTCCTGTTTCGTCATGGCGAAGGCGATCCTGAGGAGCCTTCAAGGCTGCAGTCGGTAGTGATCCTGCAGACTTTGAAGGGAAATTAGTTTATGAGTTAGGGCTGGTACTAGGGTTATTTTAGGATTTAGATTGATTCATTACACACACACACACACACACACACACACACACACACACACACACACACACACACACACACACACACACACACACACACACACACACAAAGCTACAGAACGTAGTAATGCCATCAATATTTATTGAAAACGTGAGCAAATTTAATCAGTAATAGTTTACAATCTCCTCTGATAAATCGTCGCATCGACTGAAAGCGGCAAGAAGACACACGGAAATGCACAAGGAAAGTTAGAAAGAAAAGATTATCTCTCCCGACGGTCCTTCCGTCTTCACTCGACTGCATCTTCCCAACGGTTTTTTTTTTGAAGACTTTCCAAAGAGAGAAGAAGGAAGAAAGAAAAAAAAGAGAGAGGGAGGGATTATTAAGTCAGTCTCGCATTTGGTTGTGACGCGGACCAGGCGCTTCTGCAAAATGCCAAACGCTACGAAAATGATCCTTGCATGAATGTATCATAAAAAAGAAAGTACCGAGGAAGCGTAGACGGCCACATCCGGCAAGGAGAGGGGGGAAGGGGGAGGGAGGCAGGGGAAGGGTAAACAGAAGGGAGGGAGAGGGGGAGAGGGAGGGCAAGTGGGGAAGGCGGGAGGGGGAGGGAGAGAGAAGGGGGGAGAAGGAGAGGAGCGGCAGAAGCGACTGACAAAGGGAAGGTTGAGGAGGAGAGGAATAGAAGGAAAAAGGAAGAGACAGAGAGAGAGAGAGAGAGAGAGAGAGAGAGAGAGAGAGAGAGAGAGAGAGAGAGAGAGAGAGAGAGAGAGAGAGAGAGGGGGGGGGGGGGACGCAAATAACAACTTACAAATAACAACTCTAAAACCTGAAATACTGTTTTTCATTCGATGCCCAACACGTCTCACTGACTTCCTAATGACATCCACCCCCCCAAAAAAAAAAAATAAATAAACGTAAATCCCGGAGACATTGCATCATCACCGGCAAAAGCAAGAAGACAGACATGGGAGAATGAACATTAAGAAACGGCCATTGACATCAAGAGAAGAACATTATTCCCATCACGGACACAGGAGTCTCAGTAGTACGGACTGTCCTTCGCCTGCCACAAACGCACATAAACACACACAAGCACCCACGAACACACACAAGCACCCACGAACACACACAAGCACCCACGAACACACACAAGCACCCACGAACACACACAAGCACCCACGAACACACACAAGCACACACAAACACAACCAAGCACACAGACACACACAAACCAAATTAACAAAACAAAAAAAAACAGAGAAAAGAGTCAAATCATACAAAAATCACGAGGATTAAACACGAGAGAAAAAAACAAAAACAAAATAAAAGATATAAAAGTAACACATTGGTGATAACGGCGAGAGAAAGCTAGGGACGATAAAAAAAGGAGTTTGACCCTCGAGTCCGTGTCTTATCGAGGCTAGCGAGAGGGCGCAAAAAAGACCCGCCCACACACGCATTATCTCTGCGCCTCTGTTGACCCTTTTTTAGCGAACCCCCGGCGAGTCCGTGAGGCCGACTTGCTATCGTGACGCCGGTATCGGAAGTGCCATTGTCTCGAAGGCGGTGTGGGGGGGAAAGGAGGAGGAGAGGAGAAGAGATAACCGAGTTGGGATACACTCGTAGGTGGTCGTTATAACGGGATCGAAGGATTGCCGAGACCTGTGCGCTGGCCATTATCTAGGGTAAGTGGCGGAGAGCTTGCTTG